AGACCGGCCGTAGCTTGAAAGAGAAGGAGCTCTGTTGCGTGGGCGACGCGGTGGCCACACGCCCAGCCCGTGACGACACTCTTCCCGAGTTGCCGGCCCGTGCTCCAGCCCGCTTGGCCCTCTAGATGGCCGTCGAGAACGATCACTTGCGAGATGCAGTAGCCTTGGACGAGGTACCGATTCCCAAGCGGGTGCGAATTTAAAACCGAGTTGATGCCGGTCTCGTAGTGCTGGGTCGACCCGTCGCGCCCCACGAGCACCCGCGTAATGTTGGCGACCACCGTGTTGCTGGTGCCATCGGTGTTCCAATACGTTGTCGCCTCGTGCATGCTTGCGTCCCCAAACATCGAGAGGAGATACGCACCGTCCGGGTAGACAGTATCGAGGTTGGCGGCCTCGACCATCGCAATGCCAGCGATGAGCTGGCTCCCGTTGCTCGGGTTGCAGCTCGGAAAGTCGTCATAGCCGCCGATAAACTGGAGGGCGACCCACCCGACGTCCGGTGTCCCGCCCACCAAGCACGTCGTGACCTTGATTGGGCTGGTGCTGTCCGCTTGCCACGTCATTGCGAGCTGGGCACCGATGGCGGTCCAGGCTGCTACCGTCTCGGTCGTATTGACTTCGATCGGCGAACACGAAGTGTTGACAAACCCATCGGTACCGAGCTCGCACGAGGCGCCATAGTCGGCCCAGTAGTCGGTGTTGTCTTGGTAATACCACGTGATGACGAGCCGGTTGAACATGCCTTCGGACAGCAAGACGCCCATCGTGATGAGCGAGATGAGGATGACGGCCGCTGCGAGTAGGTTGGAGAGAATACGAATGTACACGCGGTACTGGCGGCTGCGCGAGGCAGACGAGGACGGGAGCTTGTTGGTCGTGCCGATGCGGGACGATAACACGATGGCCGTCATCGTGCGCGGGAAGAAGCTGGCGGCGCTGGCGATCCGCGACATGCTAGCGACAAGGCGTGAAATCCACTTTGGACGTTGGGCATCGACGTAGGCCACGTAAGCAATCAAGTTTTAAACACTCTGTCAACGTTGTCGGTTGACGTGGCCAAACGGACTGCGAACGGGTTCATTTTCTCACACTAACGCATACGACAACCTCCCTCGCGCAAAGACCCTGATATCTCACCCCAACAACTTACAAATTTACGGTCAAAACGCCTTCAACTCCGAAATTTCGCCTCATAGAAAACGAGTGGTTCAATGGAAACGGTGGCGCCCACCAACACGCATCGCTGCGCTTGACCTCACCGAGCATCGCGATTCTCGGCAACGAAGCGCTGCTGGAACGGCGGTGAGAGTCGCCGTCTTCCTTATCCGGATGATGCAGACTATCCGGATGATGGGCAAAGCACTTGATTGATAAGACTCGCCGCCAACCTTGTCGAGGACCCAGTTCAAGGGATATAAAATACAAGTTTTATATCCCTTGACGCAGTTCCCCAACCACTGCTCCTATTATCTCTCATGCCAGACGTGCGAGCGTGCTTGCTCAACAGTTGCAAGCTACCTTCTAGCGCTCATGGCTCGTTCGAGTGGCGCCATTGAAATAGCAAGTCATTGTCTATCAAGCACCGTGTCATTTACTACTCTCTTGCAAGACGTCTTGCGGGACCGTTGGCTCATCGGGCCATTTTCGTGGCCACGGTCATATCGACGTACGACATGCGACACGCGCCAAAGAGGCGCTCGGGCAGCTCCTGGCTCTGCCGCCCCTCGATGAGGAAGCCCATGTCAATCACGAGCTTCTTCGTGTAGCCGAGCACGAGGCCCGTGACGCGGTTGGCGACCGCGCTGCTCGTAATGTCGACGTCGAGCTCAAAGTACTTGTCCGTTTTGAAGTACGGCTGTCGCAACTTGGTGCCAATGATGGCCGGCGTCGACCCGACCGCTTGTCGGACCATAAAGTTGCCTTCGACGATGCACGGAATGAGCTTGAAGCGCTCGTTGCGGTATTCGTCCGTCCTAAATACATGAAAAATACGTGGAAATAAGTGAAAAATACACCAACTATACCCGTCAAGAAAATCGTTCATGAGCTCGGCAAACGGCGAGCCGTCCGCGAGCACGCTTTGGTCCACCACTTGGTAGTAGAGGACGAGCGAGTAGCGCGGCGACCCCGGCAAGAGCAGGTTGATTGCAAACACAAACCCGTCAATCGACTGCGTTTGGACGAGGTTGTCGGGCCGCGCGCAAATGTTCTCGATCGAAACAGCCCCCGTGTCAAAGAGGTCGCAGGCCACGAGCTGAAAGGCGGGCGGCGCCGACGCGACCTTGCGCTTGTCGTTGTGGTAGTCGGGACCGCGCACCTAGCGTCCAACACACCAAATTACTTCAAAATATCCCGAAAACAAGGATCATTCGTACCATAAACAGTCCCGGCGGCGGCTCGCTCCACATTTCGCTGGGCAGCGTGCATGGCAAAAGCGGTGCGCGGGCAACAGGCGCTGGCGCCGGTGCGGCGGGTCCCTCGGATGTCGGCTCACCAGGTCGCACGTCGTCGTCGCCGTGGAGCACATCGGCGAGCGTGAGCATGTTGTACTGGCGGGCTTCCATGGCTTCTTCGAGCCCGACAAGCGCAAAGATCTGCGGCTTGATGTAGTGGAAGAGGAGGTCGAGTCGACGCAGAAAGACGCCAAAGAGACTAGACACCGAGTGTGAATCATTCAAGACAACTACGTGGCAAACCCTTGGGGATTCATGTGGATGACAAAGGTCACGAGCGACGTGGGCTCTTCCAGCGTATTGGCGTTGGTTGGCGGCGCGACCGTAAAGCCACCGCCTATTGCACCGACAATGTTTCAAAAAAGTTTCAAAAAAGTTTCAAATATGGCAAAATGGCAAAAATGGTAGGAAAAATACCGTGGCAGAGGGCGCGCGTGCTGTCCGAGACTTGGCACTCGGAGTGCACAGCGCTTTGCATGCAAATCACATACGAGCCATCTTCCGTCTCGCGCCAGTACCGCAGCAAGCACACGTCGCAGCCCGGCAACCACCTAATATGCACAGCAAAATCAACATAAATCGATCGACAAAGAATACCTACATGGGCCAGATCCACACGGGCTTGTAGACGACGTGGAGGATGTCCGAGTGCGAGTCGATCGTCTGCAGCACGCGGACGCTCTGCACCGACGCGTCCCACCTATATAACGCACGTCTTTTCTCTGAACCATTGAGAGATTGAGGGTACATGACGCGGGCGTCCGTGTCCATGAGCAGGTTGAAGACCTCGGTTGGAGTGCCAGGAATCACGCGCGTGGCCTTGAAGCTGGGCACGTCGGCGCTGTGCAGCGCGTGCCCCGACTTGGTCCAAAAGGTAAATGCGGCCGCGAGAAGCGAAAATACAAACACCGTTAGCATCGACGTGCCCCCAATGCCGCCTGTGTTGGCACATATGTCATGCGTTGAGCGTCGACGATGGACGTACCGGCGATCGCGGCAATGACGCTGGCGCTGAGCGTCGAGACGAGCATGCTGTTGAGCTGCTGCCAGCTCTGGCACTCTTGGCCCGCAAAGCCATGCGTGTGCTTGGCCGAGTTGAACTGCTCGTAGTAAATCTGCATGCCGCCGAGGACGCTGAGCACGTTGTACGTGCCGCTAAACATGGGCCATTTGCGGTCCATCTTCTCGAGGAGGATCTGGCGACCCTTGTCGTGCTGCGGCAGCGCAGCGATCGACGCGGACGAAGCGCGCTCCTTGGGCGAGCGCACGCCGCCAAGCGTCTCACCCGGCAGCTGGATCGCTTGGATGATCGCATTGCGCCACACGTTGGCGAGCTCGCGCGACTCGCAGCCGACCATGAGACCGCTCTCGTGGCCGACGCCATGATGGTGCACGACGGTCGAGGAGGGCGTGTGGTGTCCGCCATGCGGCGCGATCGTAAAGCAGTAGAGCGACTTGGACCCGCCCTTCTTGCGCAGCTCGATGGACGAGACGCTGGCGTCGGGCCCGAGCTCGAGGATGCCCCGCGTCTGGAGGTCGCCGGCCTTGGAGAAGTAGGCGAGCGTGCAGTCCTTCAGCACGAAGTAGCGCTCGTGCCACGAGCTCACGAGCATGCGCCCGCGCTTCCACAGGACGCCCTCCATGCTTGTTCGAAACGTCAAGATGATGCGTTTTTATAAAATACGCGACTAAAAACACCGCTATTAATATTACATGTGCAATATATATTTGTAGCCCTCAATATAGAATATGTATTGGCGACACCCAGGGCGACACCGCAGCTACTTGCGCACCCAAGGAACGAGCCAGAACTTGTACTGAGCTTGATGGGCATCGCGCGATGGCCCAAGTCTATCCATAGAGTCTATCCACGACGTCGATAGCGTTGATACGCTGGATAGTATCGGATTGGATAGTCGACAGCGTGGACGGTGGATTACGGAAAGCCTTTGCCTTTGCACACCACACAGAATCCCACAACGGACAAGAACAAGGGACGCAAATAGTGTCTATTGAGTACATTTGTAGTCTTGCTACGCACTTGAGGCCGTTCTGAAGGCAATAGCTTACACCATGTAGCCCGGCAGCGTGTCCTTGGGCCCGAACGCGCACGTGCCCTTGTCGTACGCGTGGACCTGCGTCGCCATTTGTGCGATCGCGCAGCAGTTGCAAAAGAAGCCGCAAAGGCAGTCGACGAGGCAGTTGCCCGGAATCTGGAGCTTGGTGCGGACAATATTGCGCACAATCATGACACAAATACCGCACGCAAGGGCCGTGCTGGTCGAAGCGATTGCCCAGCCGCGGTTGTCGCTGTCGTAGACGTTGCCTTGGCTTGTGTACGTTGCGTACTGTCCGGCGACCACCGACGACGCATACGTGGCCGTGTAGACAAGACCGAAAAGAACGAGCGCAGTGGCGTACGCACCAAAGCCAATACGGTGGACAATTTGTGCGAGCGAGACGCACGGGCACCAATAAGCCATGCAGCAGTTGGGCATGACGTCGGTGAAGCAGTCGAAGATACCCGCCTTCCACTGGCCGACGACGAGGTTGTTGGCGTCGACTTTCATGCCTTCGGGAACAGTCGTCGTCGTGACCGTCTTGGTCGTAGCGGAGGTGGGCGGGGCAGAGACCATGTTGGAGATGTGCGTACGCGAAGGTAAAATCAAAGATGACCGGCAGCGATGAAGGAAGACTTATGCGAGCACGAATGATGACACTACGATGAGCATGTCCCTCCAAGGCAATATACATATTCCAGTCGTCACCTGGTATGCGAGCTGCCATGTAGCGTCAACCCAAACGCACTCTGGTCTCGCAGAATTCTGCTGCGGAACGTCCGCACAATTGCGTCAGGGCGACAACACACCAGAATCGTGATATCAGTGCTCTTGTGCAGCACGTTGAGAGGCATGTAGATACCCCGTGATGCGTGGATACCGGTGGAAGATGCATGTACAGTAGTGTCATACAACAAGGCTTCCGTCGCGACCCCTGCAACGCCGGCTCTTGCCCATCTGGTGGTCGTTGGACTCGGTCATGTCCGAAACCAACACTCTAAATTCGAGCGTGCGTCGAGAGCGGTCCATTTCAGAATGTTGGTCAACAGGTTCTCGCATGGACAGCGTCCAGCAACGAGCCATGATGTGCCAGGCGTTTGTCAGCAGTGAAATGCAGTCACAGCAACGTTTAGTCGACTAACAATGAGACACGCGTGCACTGGTCGCTTCTCAAGTAACGTTAACATGTAGACAGTAGGCACTGCTCCGAAGAGCGTGCCTTTCCCACGCCTCCTGTGGCACTCGACCCGTCGGCTATATTGCGCACTTGTTCGCGCCAAGGATCACCAGGTCCTTGGCTGCGCGGCATGGTGGCACAAAGCAACGCAGCTATCGGTGGTAGGAAAGCTACAGTAGATATCTAAGCTGTATCCGCGGACGCTGGAACGAGGAAAGGTACGAGGGATGTACCAGACCTACCACCTGGTGCAAACCATATTCCAGCTGGAAACGTCGTCTCACCACACTTCATTGAATCAAACAAAAACAACGTTATCACACTTTGGTCAGCAAAAGTAGCTCATTTTGCATTCTGCGCCGACCAATCCACGACAGCAATGAGCCAGCAACAATCCATGACGACTGCTTACGAGATCCAACCCACGCCGACGGTCAAGCTAACGACGATTGTTCCCGACGGCATGGAGGTCGACGCCAACAACCTAGTCGTCGGCCAGTGGGAGGCCGGTATCTGCGGCTGCTTCACCGACTGTGTGCCCAACTGCTGCATGGCCTACTGGTGCCCGTGCGTCTCGCTCGCTCAGATCGGACACCGCATCGGTCTTGGCTCGTACATGACGGGTCTTTTCGTCTTTGGCCTTGTCTACATTGTGGCGTACATCACGTCGGGCGTCTCGGGGCAGTACGCCACGTACACCAACGGCGGCTACATCTACGACACACAATACCGCTACTGGGCGATTGTTGCAAGCAGCGCTAGCTTTGCGTGCGGCATTTGTGTCATGATT